ATGTCACAAAGATTGCTTCTAGCATCTTCCCTTATCGAAAAATAAGCAATTTTGTCAGGGTCATTTTTTAAGATTTTTAGCCTTTTTAATTTCATTTTATGGGTTCTATGTTAGTCATTTATTGCCCAATATGTATAATACAAAGTTCATATGTTTCATGGTGCAAATTCTTAACTTTTTTGTTACCGATAAAGTTTTCTGTCGGCACCGGAGGTGGCGTAATTTTGCGAAAATTTATAATTTTGACAGGCGTAATTTTGCGAAAATTTATAATTTTCGCAAGCAGATATTAATTTTTACAAATCTGACAGATTAAGAAGAATCCCCCTATGACAGACGCAAAAAATTTAAAACTCATTTTTTTCAATTTTGGTTTTGTGTTTGCGCCATTTTGATTTAAAGGTGAAAAAGTGTGTAAAATTAAGCAATTTACAACCCATTCAGGGTTTTCATATTTTAAGATATTTCTATGTATTGTTCATAAACTTGTAGCTTGTATCTATACAAAGACAATCTATGCCGAAATTAGTTTGTAATATGAGCAATTGCCGATAAATGAGCAATTTTGCATGAGTCACTTTTCTATGGTGGCTGAAAGCGTCCATTTGGATCGGCGGGTTTCTAGATACAGCGCGAGAGTCGCCGTTAAGCCAGCACGACGAAAAATGCGCCGATCAGCGACTTTTTCATCGTACTAGCTAAACGGCGACCCGCGACTTTCACAACACGAGAGTCGCCGTTCAGCCATGCGACGAAAAAGTCGCCGAAAAAGTCGCCGAAAAAATCGGCGCCTTTTTGTCGCTCTGGCTTTACGACGACTCTCACCTCGGAAGTTTAAATGGCTACATTTTACTTCTTGTATATAAAATCAGAATGAAGGAGATTTTGGATGAGTTTGGGCTGTCGAGCTTAATCAACATTTTCAGTGACACTAAGGCAAATTAAAATTTATGAGTGTTACAGACACGTGTACTTTCAAAACCTGTTTAGTTACACTGGAATTAGATTTAAAATGTACACGTCTCTATATCACACGGCTCTAACTTTTTCCCAAATTTTCGTTGGGTAGAACGCTTTCTGCCACAGATGGAGCAACATGTGGCAAACTCTTGCACAAAAGCATGTATGAGGTTCACCATGAAAAACTTGAAATACACAAGCTGGAAGTAGAGACAAGTAAACATGCAATTTTCGGCCCTACATTTCAACCTAACCGACCTCTCAAAATCATGAATATTCACCAAAACCTAGCAGAAAATGTATTTTCAAACCCCTTTCTTCGATTCTACACCGAAAATCACCATGCAAAAGGGGGAAAGGGAGAGAAAGACTAAAAATAATTTTCGCCCTACATTGGTGGGTGACGGCGTAGAAATATTTGGTGATCTGTGTGCGTAAAATGTAGCCATTGCGCATGTAACTAACTATAAACTTCCGAGGCGAGAGTCGCTGAGCGACGAAAAAGTCGCCGATTTTTTTGGGGACTTTTTTGTCGCGTGGCTTAACGGCGACTCTCGTGTTGTGATAGTCGCAGGTTGCCGTTACGGCGACTCTCGTGTTGTATCTAGAAACCTGCCGATCTAAATGGACGCTTTCAGCCACCATACTTTTCACATTATTTATTTGGCTGTAAAAAAGTCAATTATGATTTGATCTTCATAAAATAACACCATTTGATGCATAAAGCAAATGTGCATTATATCAATTTAAGCAGAATTTATAGTTGACACCGAAAGTGTTACCATATTCTCCAAAACAGATATTTTATTCTAATGAGTCCTATTTGTTATGCGTTTAAAAGTATGATATTTAATTTCATTCAACAAAAAGAATGAACCCATACAATCATATAGATATCACAAAATGATTTCTAACTCATTCAGTTGCGTAGAAATAGACGATTTTCTGCAAGTCACTTTTAACGGTTTTTGGTCCACGAAATTGTTAATTATTACTTGATTTTTATAAAAGTTTCACCATTTGATGCCTAATGCCATTTGTGATTTCCGAAAAACAGTTTCATAAATGTATTTTTACTAGAAATGGCAACACTTTGACAAAAACTGTATTTTTAACCTTCAAAATAAATATATTCTCCAAATGAATGTTATTCAATATTCCTTTAAAATTATAATATTTAACTGCATCCAACATATAGAATGATTTAATACGATGCTATAGATAACAAAATATTGCTTCTAACCTCTTCCGTTACCGGGAAATAAGGGTCAGTTTTTAAGATTTTTTTTCGCATTTTAATTTCCCATTACAAAGTCTCATCAGATAACTTAGTGGTAAATTAGTAACAAATTTTGTCAGGATCACTTTTTCAACATACCGGGAATTCTCGTATTTAAGCCCTGGTTGACCATGTCAGTGATGAAACATTTCTTCTGAAATTAAGCCCAGGGCTTCAACTCGAAAAGAGGAAAAAAAGGACAAACATTTGGGTTCTTTTTATAATTTTAAATCGAACGAATCAAATTCGTCAACAAAAATGGCTTTTAAAACACAATTGTGATACACCTTCACATAAATGTTCTGAAATACAAAAAAGAAACTGTCCATACACTTTAAATTTCAAAGTTCTTTGAACAAATCAGATCTCAGGGCTAGCTTTTACTAGTATGGTGAGCACCCTTTACCCATCAATGTCCTCGTCTGAACTGGAATCCTCGAACGGGTCGTCACCGAGTTGGTCCTCACCGTGGGAGTACAAGACCGGAAGGTGACTGGAGAACATCTCATAGCCTGTAGTTCACATGTGGTTTGAAAATTTAAAAGGGAGACCACTCTAAAATAAATTTTAAGGGCTTAAATTCGAAATTTAAACTCGTTATTTAGCTTATACGCTTAATAACGGCAGGGCTTAAATATGAGGATTCCTGGTATGTAACAAATATATTAATGGAATTGATGTTGCTGGATTTGGTTGATTCTGCGTCCATTTTATAACACATGTACAATGCTTATGTTGAAATCTGTTGGAACGGTTTCATTGGTATCGGAAGTGACATAAATTCAAGGGTAACGTGGCATCAGAAGTGACTTAAGTTCAAGGGTAATGTGGCACCGGTGAAACACGTCATTACTGCGTCGCAGTTCTAGTTTTATTTGTTTTTACTACACTGGGACCTGGAAGAGTTGTTATATAATCCGCGTTCTGGTTAATGTGGGGGATTAACCAATGACCCCTGACACGACCTCCCACTACAAGCGGTGAGATCTTCATGCAGTGGGGGCCATCAAAAGTATATAAAAAAACGAAACATACATCTGTATTTTAATCAGATTGCAGGACGCGGGTCATTGTCAAGGCTTCCTCTGCCACGCTTAATTTCCACAGCCCACTTCTTTACTGTGGATAAGGAAGGGGCATCATCCCCAAAAGGCGAGACCTGTAGTACTATGGTCTTTGCGACCATATTGTATCTTTGATTAATTATTAGATTCATGCATTGTAGAGAAGTCATATCTCACATACTCAAATTAAAATGATTGAGTGGTTGACACATAAAAATATTTATAAAACCAAAACAGAGATGATTTTAGGTGAACCCAGAATATCATGTTTATCACTTGTGTTGGAAAATTTCTATTGCATCATTTGACCAATCATCATAATTAATTATGTAATATTTGTCCAATTAAATAATTGACAGCTCGCTATGTACATTAAGTCAAGCTGGCAAACAATAAACCGTCAGGTTAACATTTTTGCCCAGTGCTTGCCCCATATTGTTTTTTTTTTCACTGAATCCAGTATTTTTCTACTAAGATTGACATATACCAAATTTGCCATACTTTTATTGGAAATAGCTACCCTATAAATACTTTCGTGGGTATGTATCTGAAATGTGAACACTATTGGTTTTTTTTTAGAAAAAATACTCAAAGTGACAGAAACTATAAGAGTCTGTGAGTCCTATACTTAACTGGTCAAAAACAGATTAAAGAGGTACAAATGGGTGTCAGATTTGTGAATTTGATTTGATAGGCTTTCTTTTATTTATGTCAGTTCATATACTATTTCTTAGTGGATAAGACGCTGGCTCGCTAGTCTGGAGGTTACATGTTTGACCCCTGCATTGCAGAGAGAGTTCATTGTGATTTTCTGGCATCATTTCCCCTTGTCAGTGGTGCAGGATGGAGGGCCTGACAAAGACAGCTGCCTAGTCGTTCGGACGTGAAGAAAAACTGAGGTCCCTTGTATACATTGGCGTGTACGTAAAATATCCCTTGACAGTTGGAATTCAATATAAGACTAAGAGTAGGTCATAGTGCTGCTGCCCAGCACACTGTATGGCTTATGCCCAATCAGAGCAGAACAGAAGGACGTTAAACCCGATTTAATTTCATTTCACATTCTTTTTCTTTTCATACCACAGTGACTCAGTGAGTAACACTATCTCATTAACCATGAGGTCCAGGGTGTGGACAAGAAAGTTCTTTGGTGATTTCCAGCCTGGTTTCTGCTTTGTCAGTGTTGCAGGATCAATATTCTGGCAAAGAAACACGTGCCCAATCGTTCAGGTGGTAGGTAAAATCGTGGCCCACCATTGCGAATTTCAGACAATAAAAATATTAGGATTATATAGATAAGCCTTATAAGACTGAAATAAATTTCACATTATGTATGTAAACCTCTCTTTCAGGTTTGTGGAAGTCGGGTGTTAGATCCCTGCATTGGCCAAGAAAGTTCATCCAGATTTTCCGGCGTGGCCCCCCCTTGTCAGTGATGCAGGATGGGAGGGCCTGACAAGGACAGCTGTCTGGTCGTTCAGATGGGATGAAAAATCGTGGTCCCGTGTACACATTGGCATGCACGTAAAAGATCCCTTGACAGTTTGAATTCGATATAAGAGTAGGCCGTTGTACTGCTGTCCAGGCAAAATTTCCCTTATAGCACACTGTATGGCATACGCCTGTCTTCATTAGCCCAGTTCGGAGCAGAACAGTAGGACGTTAAACTCCATTTTATTTAATTTCATTTCTTTCAGGTTTGAAGAGAAGAAAATCAGCAAAATTTTTAGTCGAAGTGATAAGAATGTTACACAGAATATGTAAACAACAAGTATTAATTCGTCATCTTCAGTATGGTGTTCGAGGTCAAACACAAATTAGCAGAAGTCAACATGTGATAGCTATCAGACGCGAGACCATTAATGTATGGGAGAGACGTGCTCCACTCTCCCCTGCCCATGTGGGACGATTGGTTAAAAGTGGAGTAAAGATCATCGTACAACCATCCAACAGACGTGCCTATAATATGCAGGTTAATAATATAGATAAATTACAAAAAGTAAAGAATACTGCAGCTAGATTTGTTACTTTAACAAAGAAATGCAACCACATAACTCCTGTTTTATATAATTTACACTGACACTGAGAACTGCTAAAGGGCGAGTCTGTGCACAGCCATCATAGAATTCTCAGTCATTGTTGTTATTTGTACGTGTATCGAAAGAAAATTAATTTTCCAACTATTACTCGGTATTACCACGTTAAAACTGTAAATAAGGTTTGTTAATTAACAAGGGTGAAAAACTGTCTGAGAGCTGAGTTAATTAACGCTAGGGGTGAAAAACTGTGCGACAGTGCGTTTTCAGTAGAGGTGTGTTAACTAACGGACTGGTAAAAAATGAATGTCAATGTTGTGTATTGTTTAATTGGCGTGTTTTCTTGGTAGTTGCGATAACTGCACCAAAAGGAGTAGGGCTGGGTAAAATATCGATATAATTCGATAGTATCGATTGGACGACTCAGAAAAGCACTATCGATAGCGGTGGGTTACTATCGATTATCGCTCTTCGTCTATTTTTCTTGCGTCTGAAATGTCAATGTTTTCTTTCAGTTAATCATAATACACCGCTCACTTTAATTAATATCAAGTATCAATGTAACACATAACAAAATTGTGACTTCTTATTGAACAGCCGTTTTCATAAATTCACTCTCATTGAAACGTTACTTTAGTTTTGAAGAAATTATTGTTGAATATCGCTAAATCGAAGATACCCGGATGTGTAAATAAAGTTAGAGTTATTTCCCTTTGCAAGCTTCAAAATTCGTCTGCCATATTGATATTTTCGCGCGCACGTACGCAATTTTTAGAATCGGAACAAGTTCATTTTGGTCCCTTAACATAATTATTTACAATATTTCTTCATTCGGAACCACGGCTGCATTATTTTAATAATAAACAACATCAATTTACGTATATATACGTGATATAACAAGTTTTATTAATGTTTTCCAAATAAATCTCCTTAGACAGGAGCAAACGATCTTTCGCAACTTCGTTGGGTTTTGAACTTTGAACTTACATTGTATCCAGTCTTGATGATGACGGTGAAAATAAGTTTGTTTTCGATACTATCGATTATCGACCGACATTTCATAGTAAAAATCACTATCGATACCCAGCCCTAAAAAGGAGTATAATCAAGGACCAACAGGCTTTATCTGACACGTACGTGTTAAATCAAAATTTGGGAAGTAAAACTGTTTTACCGTGCAATTTATCATTCGACCATGTGTTTTACGCAGGTCTTTGTATGATTAAAGACAGGTCTTTAGATAGGCGTGTGTACTCGCTGTGATCTACGTTTCTCTTATGTGTCTTTTGTATTGCGTACCACATATATAAAGTTGAATTTAATGAAATAAAAATACGGACCTTAATCTATTGTATACGGAAAGGCGAATGTAATGTCGTCATTTATAAATACACAGCAGTGAGCGCCCAATTTGAATATCCACGGGTATATAGAGAGTAAATCCAGCAAAAACAACAGAAATATATTTCTGTTTTATTACTAAAAAGACGCGCACTCACCTTTTCATATTTATTAAATTTATAAAAATGTGCCACGTTGCGTAAATTGTGCATCTTACCTTCAATAGCAATATCCATAAAACAGAAATCTCCATATTGATAAATAATATGGCACAAGCAACAGAACAGTGGTAATTTCCACACAAATGATATATTTAAACTAAAATTACTTTAGCTTTTCACTAAATTTACATCGCATACAATTCAACGATCCTCATTTATGCAATTACAGAATTATCCCCGTGATCTAAGATATCAAAGAAGCACATACACCCGATGTGACACATAATCATTTTTCGAGACTTTGTAGATTGGACTTCCTTGTTGTGTTTTCTTCGTGATCCTAATATATGAAACTACAGATTAAATGATTTCTTCAACTTTATTATTAAGCTGGATTGGCTTCAAAGGTCCCTCGTTCTCAATAAATGATAGCTGCTCGGAATACCTGGGTGAGCTCTGACCAGTCTCACTCAACACCCTCTTTTATATCCCCCTAATTTCTGCATAGTATTGAATAAATATTTATTCTCGTAAATATACTTATTCTCGTAAATATACTTATTCTCGTAAATATACTTATTCTCGTAAATATACTTTCTCGTAAATATACTTATTCTCGTAAATATACTTATTCTCGTAAATATACTTATTCTCGTAAATATAATTTTTCTCGTCTTCCGACAAGTTATTATTTGTGTCTTCAAATTTGTACCATTGAAATGTCACCCAACCATTTCACGCATAGTCCGTGCAGAGCAATAACAGCTCCTTGATCAAAGTAACAATTCTATCACATGTAAAGGCGTGCAGGAGCTTATTCGCGTGTATTGGAAAATTGTTCGGTTGCTTTATTTGAGAAGATACTGATATTATACTATAAAATTTGTCCATTTTTTCTTTGAAAATTCTGACAAATTGGTAGCCCTTCGGGAAGGTTGGTCATATCGCTTACCCTATTTGTGTATTGTACGTTTTTATACGCCCACATTGAAATGTGGTCAGATATTATTGTTCGTCCGGTGTCAACAATTGCTTGTGGACGCTCTAGAGGCTAAAGTTAATATCCGATTGACTTCAGATTGATACACAGAATTTAAGGTCTTGAGACGAAGAAGTATATTGATTTTCAATGTATCTTTATGACTTGAACGGCTAAAGTTTCGTATACTAAACGTTAGCATGGGGCAGAACAAATTCTAATGAATTGTTACTCTTAATCAGATTTTAATGTATTATAAATGTTTCATTACCGAAAAAAGTAAAAATATGCGACAACTCTTGTTGACTGCCCGGACGATATAGCTGCTGTGGGCGTATGTTTCGTTGCCTGGCAACCTATCTTTATAATAGCTAGCAAATAATTTATGATATCTGAATACTTTTTGAAAGAACATATAGCTCGTTATTAGATGTTAGTTTTTAATAGGCCATTTTCAATGAATCTTTATGACTTGAACAGCTAAAGTTTCGTATACTAAACATTAGCATGGGGCAGAACAAATTCTAATGAATTGTTACTCTTAATCAGATTTTAATGTATTATAAATGTTTCATTACCGAAAAAAGTAAAAATATGCGACAACTCTTGTTGACTGCCCGGACGATATAGCTGCTGTTGGCGTATGTTTCGTTGCCTGGCAACCTATCTTTATAATAGCTAGCAAATAATTTATGATATCTGAATACTTACTGAAAGAACATATAGCTCGTTATTAGATGTTAATTAGATGAACAGCCCAACGCAGCTTTGAAATGAAATGAAATGAAATGGGGTTTAACGTCCTACTGTTCTGCTCCGAACTGGGCTAATGAAGACGAGTATACGCCATACAGTGTGCTATGAGGGAAATTTTGCTCGGACAGCGGCACTACGGCCTATTCTTAGACAATTACGTTTCCAACTGGTACGGAGAAGTAATTCAAATTTATTATTATCATCGAAGAGATGTTTTGCAAATAAAGGGAACAAAGTAATATTAATACATGTACTATAAATCAAAATTTTGTTACTATATATTATTATAGTGCGCCCTTCCATGTAACTTACTTAGGGACACTTTACAAAGTGACAATTTAATCTTAAAAAAATCAAGATTATGGACATGTAGCGTCGGTTAAAAGTCCGTTTAAATAACTGTGTTTTAAATAGGTTTTTTTTATAGATAGAATATAGATATGTACAATATCTTAAACTAAATGGTAGATTATTCCATAAAACAGATACGCCTGTATCAAGAGATAGTTTGTTACTGGTTGCAGTAAATTTTACTATACATGTTTGTATGTATTCTATTTACATGCCATACAAAGTTTTAACCATAAATTACCTTATTTTTCAGTTTGCACGATTATTTAAGTTAGCGAAAACAGTAAATTAATAAATCTATAAACAAAATTAACAACCGTAATTCAGACAGTAACTTCTCTAACACATTTTGGTTGAAATAAATAATCTGCGTGTAGCTTGTTAATTAGTTTATTACTTTATGGCCCCAATCAAGTATCTAAACACCGCATTTGTTACGCAACACCTAGAGGTCAACGTTTTCAAACATTCTGATCAATCAACCATAACAAAAAGATGGCAATACTTTCCCCCAGTTTGACTGTATATACAGGATACTAGTGCTCTAATATTGTATTTTAAAAAACGATTGGAAATGTAGATGGTGTTATTGATGAACTATTTAAATGTTCAAATCATATCCCAAGAAATTATATCGTCTAGTTCTATCGGGAGCAGATTCATCGTTCAGTAATTATAAGTTTATGGAACTTTAAAATCTTCGCTGAATCCACGGGACAGATACAATACCATGCTGATTTTTATTTTTCATTTCGGCGCCAACGGCTCGGCTTTCATCATTCTAAAGGTCAATATGTGAACTTACGCGTTTAATCAATGAAACAATGTCTAAAATGATTATAAAATAAACCTAATATTGCTTTCTGATGTGGCTGGGTAATTTCAGGTGCCAGTCGTAAGAATAAGAAGACAGTATATTTACATACGGCAAATTTGACTTATTCGCTATATACCCGGGGATATTCAAATTGGGGCCTCCCTGTTCGATATTTATAAATGACATTGCATTTCGTGCGATAGATTAAGGTCAATATTTTTATTTTTAAGTAGCGTGACTATCTGGTACGCAGTATAAACGCCAGTTATAGTCGAAAGAATAGAAGACAAGTTGTAAGACTTTGGTCCTTAAAACAATATTGGGTCTTTGAAAAATTGTTGGTTAACTCTTTCTATAGAGTCAAATCCCACGTACTAATAAAAGCGAACGACATGTTTATATGTAAAAAAAACCAGTGATATTTTGGTAAAATCCTAACCATTGTCAAAATATCCATCAAATTCTATCTGTTTATGACATATGGTTGGTAGACCAAATAAGGTAATGTTCTTCCCCCTGGTCTTGGGAAAT